TAAATAAAATTTAATTTTTGTCAGGAGAAAATCATCAAATGACTTCTCCTGCCCAGGGTAAGGCGAGAGAGAGTGTCAGACTCTTACTGACTAAAAACCTCCCCGTTCCTTCTCCTGCTCTGGGACGAGGCCGCGGTGAACCGCAGTTGCGCTTAACCCGCAATCATGGCTTAATCTAAACGGAATTAATGTAAATTATGTTCTCAAAAAATAACTGGAGTATTCTTGAAATTACTAATTGCATCACTTCTGTCGATGACTGTACAAACGGCGTAACGAGCTAAAGATATCTTTATTATTTCCTAGTTATTTATCACTTCTCTTGCAAACGAATTCAGTCGTTTTAATTAGTCGCCTGATTACTGTTTAAGAAGAGACGTGAATTAGTGCATTGTATTGTATTGAATCAGGTACGTTTTGAGGAATTTTTTTTATAAAGGCAAGGTCAAAGACAAAACATTTACGAAGCCGGTGTAGATTTGTCTGTCAGTGAATCTATCTTAGGCTATCTTGAAACGAATTCAAATTGAAGATAAGTACTTAGTTTAACTTTTTTAACATAAGAAAATAATCTAACGTTTTTAAAAAGTTTGTTTAAGTTTTATTGTAATATCATTATAACTTAAACAATTATAACTTTCGCGAAACATTCTAAATTAATTATTATGTTTTCGGCTTACTCACGTAATGATTTGACGAGATACTCGACTAGTTTCAAGCCACGCTAGAGGCCCATATTCATAAGCAGCATTCCGCGATTCGCAGCGCGACAGTCGCGTGTAAATATTGATATAGATTATTTTGTTATATTAATATTTTATGTAAAACTCTGACCTACTCTTTTTCTGATCTAAAAATGTAACAGGAAGCCTGAGACTAATGCAATAATTTACGGGAGATTTTGGAAGGAAAGGAACAGACGGTTTTAATCACTATGAGTCTGATATTCCCTTTCTTTAGATATTATTTTTACATCCAAGTTTCCAGTACGGATAAGATCATTGAAGTGTCCCCAGAAATAAATGGTTACCAAATTGAAAAATTAAATTAAATTAAAAACATTAACTTTCACGTGTGCAAGCCATTTTCCATAAACAAAGAGCATCAGCCAACGAAAGGAAATTCTTCGAAACTCATTTTCTTTATAATTTACATTTTTGAATTTACATCACAAGCACAAACAGCATGAAAAGCTACACTTATTTATCAAAATTCTTTAGTCAATTTTGAACTTAAACGCTGTAACGATAAAGTTAAAAATTGATTGAATAAATTAGATTTTTGGTATAGTTTTATGTGCCTCTGCATTCCAGGTTACCCTTTGAGAGCAATTTACGCGTTATCACGTCTGTTTTGTGTTGTTCTTACGTTGTTGCCTTAACAAGTCTTATTGGATTTGAAGACAAAATTTCATACAAACATACATACGTGTATATTTTATACCTTACGGCCTGCGGCTTCACCTGTGTTATTTTTAAAAGATTTCTGTCATGGAGTCTTTCTTTACCTGTACAAGGAGTTACATGTAACCGCATTTCAGGCATTAGGGTTTTGAAGATTTAGGAATTAAGGAGGAATGGAAAAGGGGAAGGATTAGGCCTCCGGTAACCTCACTCTTACGATCACACAAGGCTGTGACTGTTTCTCGCCAGATTTCTATCAGGGCATAGTATCACTCCCATAGAGCTGGACCATACTTTCCAAACATCCTAATCTTGTAGCTTTATGTATATAGGAACTTCTATCAGCTGCTTAACCCACAGCACCAGGGTAAAAAGGAGTAGCCTATGTATTATTCCAGACTGTAATCCACCCTAGTGCCAAACTTTATATAAACATACTTACAAACCTTGCGGATATTAGTTTAAGTAGGAAAAAACTCGCTCACGTTGCTACTTAAAAATAAAGATTTCACAGATATATAATATTTTTACAAATTGGCCCAGCAGTTGTGGAGCTTATTCAATTGAAACTAACAACCAAACAAGTCTAAACTCCTTATAAAAATATAAGGAAAGTAGGTATAGATGGTGGTTTTTAACCTACACCCCATGAATATTCGAAAATGTTCGTAATTATACGTAATATGTGCGAGAAATAAGTATTATAAGAAGTTATGTGTTGACTTTTGAGCTCCTCTCGAGGTGATTACGAAACCGAAGTTTTAAAGCCGTCAATGTTCTTAGAACACCCTGTTGTTATTGTTGTTGTGTTTTTTTCGAGTAATAAATTAAAAGAAAATATTGTGTCAAGAATATTGATAAAATGTGGGTTTGGAAATTATGTCTTAACTCGGTGGAACTAAGATCGATTTTAGCTAAACGACTAATATTGTTGAAGATCATTTGGACACGCTTACTCAAGGCCGTAATCAATATAATTACATAGTTATTGCTATTTAAAAATAAATAGTACAAATGAGAAACCAAAATCAAAACAAAATGAAAACGATTATTTTGATAAATAAATGGTTTGGGCAATACTAAAAGTTATTTGTGCCGTACAGACAATGGATTGTACATTACAAATATTTTTGTTAAAATGACTATTTTAAATATTTTCCTTAAATATATGTATAAGAACCATTTATATAGGAAATACACATATATATATATTATTTACGTCTCTAACAACATCAACGGCATCTTATTTCAAAAACAATGTCCAAAGTCAGCCACTGTAATATGGCGGATAAGCAAAAACAAGCCGTTGTTTTGACACAACGATAAATTTATTGCTCCCTAAACAGCTTAGGATTGAGTTTCGGATGTCTGTACTCCAGTGTTGCGCTACGCTTTATAATTAGTTAGCTATCGCATCAAATGATAGGTGCATCGTAATTTCCAATTAATAATATTTTCGACCCTGACAAAATGGTACATGGCTAGCGCAGAAGCTGGAGATCTAGCTGCTGAAGCACGTGTTATGCGTTCGGTTTCCTAATAGGTCACCTGATGGTAAGCAATCGTGCGGGCAACCGGAACATCAAAAGATATGCAAGTGCACTGAAGGTCTTTTGTGATTTAGAATTTGAGGATAAATGAGACCATGGTCTAGTCAACTTAGCCCATTCGTGCCGAAGCTTGACTTTCATGCACTTATAATCACTAGTTTAAAATAGTTTTATAATAATTTGTAGTTTTCAACTTTTGTACCGACTGCAAGTAAAAATCGGTTGCTTTACTTTTTATTCCGGTCAATGTGTCAGTTTTTATACGTACATATGCATTAAATGCCAGCAAAGCCTGGGAAATAGTAGCCGAGCAGCGGCGTAATGGATTGATATATTTAACCAAACTAATATTATAAATGCGAAAGTAACTCTGTCAGTCTGTCTTTTTTAACGCCTAAACTACTGAACCGATTTGTGTCATTTGGTACAGACACAGTTTGGAACCCGAAAAAGGACATAGGATAGTTTTTAAACCTAAAAATCTGCAGGAAATCACTACTCCACGCGAAAGAAGTCGCAGACAAAAGCTGGTTGTACATAGTCCTTGCTTCGCTTTCAAAACAACAAAACCTAAATCAATTCTCAACAAGAAACGGAGCAAGTTGCTGCAACATGTACTGCAACTTGGCCCCCAGCCACATCTGTACAGAACAGATTAGAAATGTTAATACTGCAGTTTGTCTTACGTGTTGCACGTCGAACTGTTGTCTGTAACGTGATCTGTGACGTGTTTATTTGAAGTGAGTGATGTTTGACGTTACTTGCCTGAGGGGAACATAAAGCAGGATTTACATATATTCAGTTGCAGGCTACGTAGTATGTTGCATATGGAAAACCTTGGATATAAAATGAAAGTTTTCAAAAATTGGTGTTAATAGAATTAAGTCAAAGGAGTTGACATATCTATAATACAGGTAGCCTATCCGCATACATAATTATATATATATATATTAAAATGATTCGCAAACTGTGTTGGTAACTAAACAACACGTGGACCAATTTTGTTTTTGGTTCTTTTATTATGTATGAGGAGAAGGTTCTTATTTAAAAAAGAAAGTAATGGGGGAAATATGGATACTACTTACCCTTGCGTCGTTTAGCTAGGAAGATACCCGTGAAAAGAAGGGACAGGCTGCTAGTTTAAAAAAAATCTACATAGTTATATTTAATTCTCTCGTTACCAAGTAACATGTACATATTGTGACCCTAATAAAATCTTTGTTGAAGACTAAGGTAGGTTTATAATAAAAACCTATAGGCTAGGTTTTTCACCGCCTTGCCAGCTCAACAATAGCGAATTTCAGTGACTACTACAATCATACAATACGACACTAATAACTATGGTGAAACTTACCAGATAGCCACCATTTGGTAAGTTTTAGCAGCTATTTTGGTAGTTATTCTCTATTGAGGTGGATAGATTATATTATGGAAGACTACTTTTCGCCCGGATAACACTAACGGAGCCTTGTACAAGAGTCTTAAATTCTTATATATCCGTGTAGTTTTTAACTTAAAAACTTAATTGAGAAATACGTGGCATATGTAGCATTAAGAGTCCAACTTGTGGAGAGTTTCTTACAGTTGCTTAGAGTACACAGCATAGGTTTCAATCGCAAACTTTGCTAATCTTGCCTCAAGTTGGACGCTGTACTGTAACTGTAATAAAAAGAGTCTTAAAGTTCAAGTTGCAGTCATGCTTCAAGAAGACTTGTAGCTTGTTTGATGAAGGCTAGTGTTAAAGTCTTCAGTAGTAAATAATTACTGAAGGCTTTTAAGAAACAAAAAAATATGTCATCATCGTCATCATCATCAGCCCGTTTCCGTCCATTGCTGGGCATACGCCTCTCCGTTGAATCGGCCACTGAGCTCGATGTTCAGCTGTCTTCTTGCAACCACTGCCAGCCATCGCACAGGTATCGTCAGTCCAACGAACTGGAGGGCTACCTACACTACATTGAAAGAAAGATGTATATATTACTAATATCTAATTGTACCCGGTATATTGTTATAGATTCGCCCCATTACACAGAATTGATAACATAAAATGGAAAAAGAGCAAAAACGAAAAAATAACAATAAAACTTTGCCAGATCCTGTAATCGAAGCCGACATCCTCAGCAGCCGCAAACCAAAACCGAACAAAACCGCTCAACCGACAGATCATTGGTACACACAGAGTACTCAATACTCCATACTCTTGGCTAATAAAGGTATTTGATTCTTTAGATAAAGGCCTAAAAAACGATGTCTTGTTGGCCAAAAAGTTTATTCGTTTGTAATTTATTTTTGACTTAATTATGCTTATATTCTAAGATTATTGATTTTTTTTGGAATTGCACACAAACGTATGAACATCTGCAGCACCAAATCAGTCACAGAAGAAGTACACACGTTTCTTGAAGGTTTTGAAGGTCGTATCAGTTCGGAAATACCTGGACTTATAATGTTTGATTACATTCACCAAATTCACCGAAAGAGAGCGTGGTGAATGCTGCTCAGATATTCTCCATGGCAAATCAGGTCCAGAAAAATGCTCTGAAAAGACGAAAAAAAAAATCAAACAAAAAAAAATTTGAACAAAAACATCTTTCAATATGTTAGCTTATCCGTACTGAAATATCTATTTGAGTAACTCACGCACACATAGTGATTGTTATTGGATATAGTCCATGGCGGGTACCATAGAGTTATTGCCACAACGTACCATTGTCCTTTATTAAATTTCAACCCGCCATGTTGCAGTGTCTTATTGTGTCGGGGAAACGACTTTATCTCTAATATTACTAGTATTTTAGCAATAAGATGTTGTAGATACTGTCTTTATATCTGTTATTAATATTAGCAACGAGATTGGTTAGGTATAAGTACTTGTCCGTGCAGCGAAATAATTTATATAAATTTTGCGACAGTGCGAAGATAAGTCCGTGATGTTGCAGGAAATCGGAGATTTTTCTTCAGGTGTTTTATATCGCCTTTGTGATTGCTGTAAGATCCAATGTGTAATAGAATTGCAAAATATATATAGATAAAATAAAATATTTATTAAAATTATCAACTTACTGGAAACTGGGAAAAGCTCTACTAGTTTAAAGTCAATTAGTCAGCTGTGCGACCGTATGACCTCGCAACGACGCGCCCTCTGTTTCTATGAATAAGAAACCCGTTGCGAAATTATTAGACCTTTTTACAGTTATCCACGAGAGTAAGTCTCACAATAGTTTCTATCCCAGATAAACACACTAAAAAGCAGTTAAATTTTCATTCGTATTTTTTTTCTAGCCGATTTGATATTTATAAGTATGCTATTGGATGTGAAAAATATGACGTTACAAACCTGAAATAACATTACACTGTTCATTATATGCTGCTTATTTTTTGATTCGAAAATAGTCTTTATTTTGACGACTAAAAAAAAAACTTATTGACACTAGCAAACTCAAACTTATTTTAATTGAAATAGAATTTACCCTATCACATCTGTATGGCGTTTTTTCTTCAAATGGAGAATATAGTTAAGGTATGGCAAGATGAGAGTATGTTCCCCGTGACCAGATTCCTTCTTTTTCTCCAGCTTGGGGCCATGATACATGAATACGCTTGCGCGTTTAGCATTACTAACATATTTAGCTCCAAAAACACACCTTGCCAAAACATATGATTATATGGTAGCTACACGGAAATTAGCTACAGATTGGGGAATGTTACAAAGTCAGGTGCCGGCTTAATTAAGCAGAATACTAATATTATGCAACATAGTATTATGTTAGCTTAACTTAATCCTATTTGAGCCTAGGCTTAGGCGTACTGCCACACATGTGAGCATGATATGAGTCAATATTTGATGGATGCCTAGACCTGCTTATATAAAGGCAGGTCTAATTGTTTTTATAATTCTTGTCAGTACGCTTTTCAATCTTAGTGGAGAAGAACAAAAGAGGAGATACATTACTTGGTGGTAAGCTATCAGCGGCGCCCATGGACTCTTGTTAAACCAAAAAGGTTACTACATAAGAGCGGTGCGGGTCATTTGTAGGCTATTAGGAATTTATGGATATGAGGATTGAGAATTGAGTCTCCTGTAACCCCAGTCGTGTAGCGAAACACAACCTAAGCGTTATTTTACGTCGATATTCTGTAAGACCAAGGTATCACAACAATCGCACCGGCCTATACTTGCCAAAACATGACTCTCCCATGCTTAATATCTTTGAAATGATTGGCTACAGTTCTTTTTATGAAAGTGTGAGAGAACCATGCTTCCGCACGAATGAAACTCGTAACTCTTCTAGGATTGCGGCTGGTAACGGACGGCGCAATATCGTGCAGCCCTGTAGGTTTAGGCACACGCTTCTCAAACATGAGGGTGCCAAATCAAAACCTGGCAAATACTGTGTAACTTCATGTAGAAATGATGAAGAAATATAAATAAAATAAATAAAAAAAGGTCATAGGTTAATCTAGATTTCTATTATTGGAGTTCTAATAAGAAAGAAGATTGCAATCGCAAATCCTCCTTGAGCAAGCGTGGTGATTAATGCTCCAATCTACTTCCCGTGAGAAGACGCCTTTGCTGAGCAGTTGAGACTTGAAGGCGTATCCTTCTCTACTAAAGGGAAGGATATTGGACCTCTGAAAACCTCGCTCACACGGCGCAACGAAAACAACAACAGCTGTGGTTGTTTCACGGCGGTTAACTGTGAGGTCACGCTATTACTCCTAAAATAAGAATAACTCCTTTTCCAATTTCCAAACACCGTAAAGCAAATGTATCATTAATCCGACAGTGCTTACGGTCTCCGCAGTCCAACTTCTTCATCAAGGGATGGAGCATAAATCTGAATCCGGAACCGAACCAACTGCTCAGAGTTTATGACATTGCCCCCGAGTGCGACAAAGGACCAATAATGTCTGTACGTCTGTGTGTATGTATATATAATGCTATGTTAGTCCAAAATGGCGCATTGATATCTTGAGCAAGTTCGTGAATGAAGTTTGGTAGCGATTAGGTACAGTTAGGTGTAAAAGTCAAAGGTCATCGTTGTTTAAGTAGACTTGAACGTTGATTACTAAGTAACGAGTTATTTAGTTTGATTTCTAAGTTAGAAAATCTTTATATTTCGTTTCTTTTATACGTAAAATTTTTAATTTAAGCGTCAGAGTCTAGAATTCTATGTGGTTTTGTTTTGTGATGTTTGATTTCAAGTAAAATTTCTGCCTCCATTTGAATATGATACGATTAGATTTTCTGTAGTACATATATGTCAATAAAATCTATCAAATGCTTAACTTAGGGTTACGGAGTAAGCGCAATGTGACACCTCGGCCTCGGCCTAAAGCAAGAGCCAGAACGGGGGATTTTTAGTCAGTAAGAGTCTGATACTCTCTATCGCCTTGGGCGAGAGAAGTCACTGTATGATTTTAATCTGTCAAAAAAATTGCTTAAGTCAGGGCAAAATTAATTTCTTTCAGCTGAATGCCATTGATTTGTTTTCCACACAGAGCACCTCTTTCTCATTTACAGATTAAACATAGTTTGGGGTATGGTGAGAATTTGTATAAATTTAAAACCCATCCACGACAAAGGAAAAACTACCCTAGTCTCAGGGGCAGATTTAAAAAAAAACATTAAAGTGAACAACGGCAATAATTTAAAAGTAGTATCCAAGTATCAACCCATTTCTATATTTCTTAGTCAGACTACTAGTGTTCAGGGTATATTTCTTTTTATTATTTGTTACGAACAAGTAAGTTGTAAGTCTTCATTCATAAATCTCGTGAAACTTGAGATACCGGCTTCTGTTAACCCACTTCTGTTGCTAACTGTACTTTATAGCTGGTAACTTTGTTAAGTAAATCATTGTTATCGTTTCTACATGCGGTTTACTAAAACTTTCCAATTTTACTGAATATTATCTGCATAGTGTGTGATAGATAGTTTTAATCAGAACTCTTATTTTATGAAGTAGCGCTGTATACGTAGTTACTTAATTTAAAAAAATAAGTTTCATCCTGTTCATAAGTGTAGGATAACCATGCTTTGGCGTGAATGGGTCGGCTAGACCGGAGTGATAAAACGGCCTTTCAGAAATCAGGCGTTTTTTGAAACATTACTTACGTTGTGTTTCACCCTGTGAGTGAGGTTACCGGAGGCCTCAATATTATAACGGCGGCGCCGACTGCTTACTTTCAGGTAATCCATACGTTCACGTATCCCATAAAAAAATTAGTACAGACGTAAGAGGTCCCTTAAAGAACAAAAGCCTTCTATTTAGCTCTCCACGCAACGCACCACTTGCATGCTTTAGTAAAATACCATGAAATCAAAATGAGCAATTATCAGGTTGATTTAAAATGCATAGATGTAGTTCAGTTTTTCAAATTTTGCTCCTTAACTAAACTGAAACTGCATAAATAATAGGATTGTTTTTATTTCATAACGTTTACATATAACTAACAAAAATGTACCATATAACCAATCCCATAGAGAAATAAAAAGTAAAACTCCAAATTTCCAACCTAATTTGAAAATTAATAAACCTTCCGAAATGAATATGAATCACCATTGAAATGCCATGCAGAACACTCCACCATAATTCCCGTGCGAATATGACAACAATGTCTCCGAGCCACCATCGCATCGCTTATGTATAGGTTGACTTAATTCTCTGCAAACTCGTACGGAGGTGCTGGCGAAAATCCAAGCACCCTCTATATAAGTTGTCGTTATTTTCGTGCGGTGCCTCCAACAGCGATGTTTGGGTATAATTGTTTTAATGTTTTTTTTTTTGTATATTTATTTTATGATAAATTCTGGTTTTGGTTGCACAATTGATTGGTAAGCACACAGTTGACTGTCACGTTGACTGGATATACATACCATATTTTTTAAAATCGTAAATAGACTATATTGTTTTCGAATTCTTCTTTAAACTATATGATCTAATAATACTACATATACTCCTGCAAATACTAAGTTGCCCAAAAATTATTTAAATAAATAATTACCATAATCATAACCATTTGACAATAAACAACATTCTAAAAAAAAAAGAGAATTATACATAGCGGGTACAAGCACGATAATATATCGCGAACCGGCCCGGAACAGGACATGTAAAAAGTATGATGTCTATCCACACGTTTTACTGCCCTAGCTTCAATGATTAAAATTATCAAGAAAAAACATTACTAAACAAAGCCAAAAGCCGAA